AAAACTCATAAATAGAAAAGCATCACAATTGTGATGCTTTTCTATTTATGCTAGATTTAATATTAAAAATAAACTTCCGCTTGCAATTACTATCCAAAGAATTATTGCAAGAAGTAAAGGTTTGTAGCCAATGTTTCTTAGCATTTTGAAAGATAAACTAGTTCCTATTAAAAATAAAGTTAAAGTTAATGCTGATTTTGAAAACATTATTATAATAGGGCTTATCTTATGAATTATAGGTAAATAGGTATTTAGAACATATAGCAACAAGAATAAACCAATAAACCAAGGGATACTAATTTTTTTATTAGAATTTTTTAAAAATAAAAGAGTAATAAAAGAGAGAGGTATTATCCATAATGCTCTTGCTAATTTTACTGTTGTAGCAATTTGTAATGCTTCTTCTCCATATTTACTAGATGCTCCTACAACAGAACTTGTATCATGTATAGCAATAGCACACCATAAACCAAATTCATGCTGTGACATATGAAATAAATGTCCTAATGGAGCAAATATTAATAATGCAATAGAATTCAGTGTGAATACAACAGCCAAAGCAACAGATATTTGATTTTCTTTTGCTTTAGTGATAGGAGATAAAGCAGCAATTGCACTTCCTCCACATATTGCAGTTCCTGCAGCTATTAAATATCCTGTAATTCGATCTATTTTAAATACTTTTGTAAGTATAAAACCTAAAATCATCACACAAGAAATACTTATAACTGTAAATGAAATACCTTCTTTACCAACATGTATTGCAGTAAAAACATTCATCCCAAATCCTAAACCTACAACGGCTACTTTTAATAATAAATTAGATGCTTTTTTAGATAGTTTTTCGTAAGGATTTCCGAATAACTGAGCTATAATAAATCCAATAACTAATGCAATTGGTGATGATATAAATGGCATTAAACAAAGAATAGTAAAAAAAATAAAAATTACTTTTGTAAATTTATAATATATATAATTGTTTTGGTTTGTTATTTTTTTCATTTTTATATTCATTATTTACAAAACAAATTTCCTGTAAATTGAATTTATATAGAAATGAAAAAAAGTAATCTGATATAACTAAAAGTTATAACGCTTAGAGAAATCAATAAATAAATTAACTAGTTTTGATTGTTCTCCTTCTTGAATAATAAAATTAAAATCTCTTTTTATTTCAAAATTCTAATATCACAATTTTAATATTGATGATTAAGTTCATTTAAAATAGAGAAAACGATAAAATGCGTGAATCGAAAATAAAAGATAGGATTTTATACTTTCTGTGCTTTCTAATTGTATTTCTATATTTAATTCATTTAGCTTGATTTGATGATTTTTAAAAGCTAAATCTATTGTTTCTAAAGTTCCAGAGCCTGGTTCACGAACAACTAAAGGGATATTTTTTAGTTGTTCTAACTTTAAAAAATTTTTAAGAGAATTTGAATGACCATTTCTTGTTGTTAAAACGATTTCATCTTTCATTAATGGAACATAGTGAAAGGTTCTATTTTTAATTCGACCTTCTATCAAACCTAAATCAATTTCATTTTGCATTAATAATTCTTCAATTTTTTCTGAGTTTCTAGTAGTTAAACTAATTCTAATATCAGGGAATCTTTTTTTGAAACTAGCTAAAATAGGAGGTAAGACATATTGTGCAATAGTTGTACTTGCTCCGATTTTTAAATGACCATTGTGTAAATTTTTTAACTCTCCAATATCAAATTCAATTTTTTCATAAATAGAAAATATTTGATTGGTATAACTTAATAATATTTCTCCAGCTTTGGTTAATTTTATCTTTGTTCCATTACGTTCAAACAA